TTCCCTCTCAGAGGAGTTCGGACCGGCGCGGCGTGGTCTCGGCCCCGGCGGCCCCTCCGGGGAGGTCCGCAGCGGTCAACGTGGAGGCCAACAGCCTCTCCTCGACTGCTCGGCTGGACTCGGTGGCTTCCCCGAACGAGAGTGAGGGAGAAGACAACGTGAACCCCACTGACAAGCTGAGGTAGCCCACAGCATTGTGTCCCACCACCCCCCCACCCCCAAAGATACAAGAGTTGTTTTAAAGATGAGAATTGGAGTTCATGAAGGGATTGCTCCAAACCTTCAGAATGAGATTTTATTAATTTTGAGAAATAGCCATATAATCCGAACTCTTAACTTGTGAGTTCTTTAACCATAGCTAAGATTACACAAGTAAAAAAATAAAAGCAGACATTTATGACATTCATTCATAAAATAACTTGTTGGTTGATATTGAGTAACATTGTGCGGATTTGTGCTCCTTTTCAATAAACTTGATTTTTCGTTTTTAATTGTTGACTTGTTTTTCTTAAGGAAACTGAAAGAGGTTCATAAGAGACTGAATGAGCTGCGTGAGTTGGTCCATTACTATGAGCAGACCTCTGATATGATGGTGGACACCGTAAATGAAAACATTAAAGATGATGATGAGAAAACTGAAGGTTCCTTATTTGAATCTCTTTTTGATTCTGACCATGAGAATCCAGAGCCAATTACCAATATAAGGTGAGTGCCAACAGTATATAATTAAAACATATCATCGCTCTCTAAAGACAGTTATTTAAATATCAGGCTGCTATTTTGTCTGTTGTGCTTAAGTAATGGTAACATTAAAGCAAAAGTGGTAGTTTTATGCTGTTGTCTGTGTTTTTATAGGAACCCGCAAAGAGCTGGAAATTGGTTGGACATGAATAGTTTGACCAATGCTCATAGTACAAATAATAGAGATGGAAGATTGAATACTGACTGCGAGATCAACAACAGATCAGCAACAAATCTGAGAAGTTTAAACATCCCGTCTGTGATAGGTACTTCAAGTGAATAAAATTGACTTCTGAAACATTTTTAACAACTTATTACTGCTTTTTAATATTTCTTCATAGGTGATCTACTGTACACGATGCAGAAGTAAACTTCAAAATGCTTTTCCCTCTTCTCTTATTGAATTCAAGGTCAAGTCTATTTTTGAAATGTAATTTTAGTTATGCTAAAAATTCTGGCTATAAAAAATGTGAATGTGAGAATTGTTAAATGTAATGTCAGAATTATTCTGGGGGAGATTGTTGCATGAAAAGTCCTTATGCAAGTGCATTTTCTCCAGAATTTTTATTGGCTGTATTCTTGTTCTGGGGCAGAATGCCAGTACAATCGAGATCGGCCATACAATGAAGTCAAGGATACGAAAGATGAGGAGTGGCTTGATGATGAAGATGATGGCCGGGAGAGGGAGGGCACTGAGGTCTCTGGGTCTAGCCGAAGAAGCAGCCTGGAGGAGGAGGAGGATCCCGAGTTTGTCCAGAAGATCCACAGACTTCACACAGCTAAACAAAAGCTCAGACACCTGCAGGAGCTTGTTGCAATGGTGCAGGTGGGGGGGGGAAGATTTTCAAATTGTCAAGCATCCAAGACTGACTGTACTGTATGTCAATCTGTGGTACGAGCTTAAGGCTGTTTTGGGAAATGATGCTTGACTGCATCTACTGTTATACTGTACCTCTTTCTTGGTTATGAAAAAGTGACACTTCTTTCGCTTTTAGCTTCAATTTACTGTTCATTTACATGGAGTTCTGGGGAAACTGGTGATAGCAAAAGTGAAGACCAAACTGTTTTCATATTGACCTGTATTTTCACCAGCTTTGTCCAGATAAGTGGTGGATGCAGGGACAGCCAGCAGTTTGTTACCTTTTCCCCCCCCCCCACTCGACTCTAAGGGTCAGGAATGGAGAACTGGCACAACAAGTTGTGGTTGGTAGAGTCCCTTTCCCAAAAGCAGAGTTTTCCTTTGAATAGAGGACTTTAACTCTCACCTGAGGTGGTTGTAATATTGCGAAGCTTTTTGTTTCCTGAAAGCTGTTTGACACACTGCAGGTCAGTGCCTGGCGGAGTTAGCATTGCTTGAAGGAGTGATGTGGCTTTCTTGGACAAACATACAAGTTCCGAGGTGCCGCAATGTAGAGCAAGCTAGGGAGAACATGACTCAAGCCCTGGTAGTGGTCAGCCAGCCATTTTATCTTTTGAAGGTTTTTTACTTTATAGCTAGGTTATCATTTACATAGTATGCGGGCATTTTAAGTTCTAGTTTGTGGAAATGTTGTATTTCCAAATTGCTGGTCAGTTTCTTGAAGAATCGCCAAGTGTGGATCTTAGTTTCTAATTTTATTTTTTTCCCCCCCCAGAGTGACGATACTGATGGAACCACTGCTAACGCATCAAGCGTGACTGAAGATGATGGCCTGAACCAGCAACCAAATAACACAAGAACTAATGCTTCTAAGCTGAAAAAAGACATTGCTCTGAAAGAAAAGGCCAGGTACTTCCATTGTTTGTATTTTATCACTTTTAGAACAGCCTTGCGTATTGTGAAAACATCAGCAGTTTTTCTTTGGTTAGCCCGTTTCTGCATGTTCAGGCGTGTTAATTTAGCAGTTGAAAGGCTAAAGGGAGAATGTTGCTGTATTTCAATTTTTCTCTTCTGGGCAGGGAGAAATTCTATGAAGCTAAACTTAAGCAGCAGCAGAAGGAACTCAAACAGCTGCAAGATGAGAGACAGCGGTTGATGGAAATTCAAGAGAAGATCCAAGACCTACAGTGGGCATGTCCTGACTTGCAGGTATGTACTGTTCACAAAATTGAAAGTGCAGGGCAGTCCATGTACTAACTGGTATCTAGAAGCATCGGCTGTACTTATTCTCCACCACAAAACGGCAGCACTGCCTCATGAGCTTGTAGCACCAGTTTTGTTACTGCTGCAGGGTCACAGTGTGTCCAAAGTAAGGTCTATTACTTAGAATAGCTATTGCCCACTCTAAGGTGATTACTATGTACAGGCCTTTTGTGTAGATTTCAGAAGTCGCTTGTTCATTGAAACTTGTGAGCTGGTTAAGATGTAGTACAAACTTTTTAAAGGGTAAGGAAACATCTGGGTTATAACTGGGAACTAAGATCCATTCAGAAAAAGCAAGTTGTAGTTATTTTTAGAAAGTAGATGTTGCTTATGTTTCTTGGTTTGACTAAGCTGAGGGCAGAGGTGGTTACATAACTTGGTAACTAAGTTAAATTGCCATCCTTTTACTTCTAAATATTCTTTAATAAGTACCACTTTCCAGTTCTTGAGTGCCAGTGTCTGGTATCCCCCCCACCATCAGACCAGGGCTTGTTCAGCATTGCAAAAATGAAATCACTCACAGGATTATTATTTGTCCCCCGAAACTATGGAATTAAATCAGAAGTATGGTAACCTACCCCACTTAGTTCCACCTGTTTGCAAAAGGAGCTCCAGAATTCTCGAGTTGAACACCATTATAACCAGTCAAGTGGTTAAGATGAAATGCAGTGTGAGTAATGCAGAGATTTTAAGTGGTTCTACGGGGATGCTGAAATGGTTGTAGTGGTGCAACTTGGAAGTTAGAAACACCTTTTAACTAGTTAATTGTTCTACGCTTCTTGAACTGCACAGTTGTAGAGATCCATAATTTGTCTTAATGGTAGTCTTCCTTAAGTCTTCCTTGGTAGTCTTCCTTAAATATATCTGCCAGATATATTTAAATTGGAATAATGTAGTATGATCCTTCATTTTTGCAAACCATAAAGTTATGAAATTGATTATAGTGCACTTGCTTGTTCCAGTTATCCGTATCAAGCACAATGAGTCAACCCACATCCAAAAGACTTCCTGCTGCAGCTTCAACCCCTGCTGTTAATACCAACGGCGCCGTTTTAAAATCAACAGTGGAGCCTGGATCAGTCTCTGCCCCTGATAATGAGGTATAACTGCTTAAAATTCATGATGGATGAACTATAAGTTAACAGTAGACCTGAGAACTGCACAGTATACATTGTGGTTTTGTCAATGACAGTAGATTAACTTTGAAGTTTTTTAATATTCATCTGTTGCTTATTAGAAAATCTTTTAAAAGGGAACTGCAGTGCTATTTTTGTATTTTGGGGTTAGAAAGAATCAGTATTGAGTGCATTTCAAACTGCAATAAAAGTAAAATGTACACAGTAACTTGTAAAACCTCCAGTTTACACCAGAAATAGACAATTTCTGCTTCAGAACAAGACAACAAGACATCTTGTGACGTGTGCAGCTTTACAACATTGTAAACAAGCTTTCTTGCGAATACATCTCTTTAAATCCAATAGAAATACAGGTAGTCCTCACCTTGCAACGCATGTGACTTGCGACCACTCACACTTAAGACGGCCATCCCCTTAATCGTATTACTGTACAGTACTGTCTTATTTTCGGGTCCCGGCCTTTGGTCGTAACGCGTCTAACATTGATGACATCATCAGCCTGCGCGACACCGTGCTGCCACACGTTATTGTTTGGGTTGTTAGCTAGCAAGCAAAAAAAGGTGTTCTGGTGGTCCCTGTAGGAAAAAGCAAAGGACAGTGGATTTAGAAATGAAAGTGAACATAATAGTGCAACATGAAAATGGAAAATCGGTATCGACAATCACATGAGACTTTGGCCTTTCTCATTCGACTGTCCACAATATTAAAGGACAGGGAAAGAATTTGTGAAACGGTGAAAGGATCAGCATCTATGAAACATGACTAAAGAGTAAAATTACTGAGAAAATATAACAAGGCCGTATTACACAATGTAGCATTGATGCCCGTTTAGTCTGTACGCATCCGTATGGTTAACAACTAACTTGCAAACGCTTCAGCTTTGGTCCGAGATGCGTCGACATCAGATCCTGAGAGAGGAGCTGCGACAAAGAAGAAAACAACTTGAGTTGTTAATGGCTGAGCATCAGAGACGGAAAGTATTGAATGACAGCGCTTCCAAAAATGGTGATGCACAGATGCAGGATCCACAGCACCCAAGCAGAAATGACAGGTCTGTGATAAAAATGGTGTAAAACGGTTTGCTACTGATGAAAACCTCTTCAACATTTGCATCTTATGTGATGACTCCCCCAGTCATACTAAGTTTAGATAAGGCAGTCATTTGAAGCTGTTTTTGTCTTGACCACCCTGTTTCTCCAGAGCCGTTTGTAGTGGTTGGTTGTTCTTATCCGTAAAATCAAATGTTTAAATCATGGCACATATGAATTCACAAGGATTTAGATGGTGAAACGCTTTCTAAGAAGTTCCTTTTAAATGTGCCTAGTGTATAAGAGATTGGAATTCTTTTAATTCTCTTCAAGGACAATGGCGACATGGGGCGGCTCTACACAGTGTGCACTTGATGAGGATGAAGATGGCTACCCCTCTGAAGAGACAGCCCAAGAAGAAGAAGAAGAGGAGGAGGAGGAGGAGGAGGAGGGACAGTCCAGTTCATGTGAGGATGCGGCTCCTTATTCTTGCAGGAACACCAGGGATAGCGGCACAAGAAAACGGAGAGAGAGGTTTGTTCTATTACATTTTGAATACTGTTTAATTATTCACTTTTATGTTTCGTGTTTGTATTCAACTTTCTAAATGCTTTGCCTGCTTTTGGAAAGTGACTTTTGAATTCTGCAAGGCCGTAATTAATATGCGGCTTGCAACAGCCTGGATTGTTTAAAACTCTTGTTCAGTAACTAATCTCACATATTTACTTTGAATTACCATTTAATGTAATAGAGATGGTTTCGGGGAAAGCTGTACGTGTATTCAGTATAACTAATCTTAAGAATAAACAAAACTATTGGACAATACTAAAACTTTACCTATAAACATCTCCTTAAATCATCAGTGGTTGAAGACTTTTAGACTCTTCAGGTCTGTAATTTATACAATTGCCCAGTACACTGGAGCCTTTGAGGATCGGAGCCGTCTTAAAGTGCAACAGCACTGATCTGAGATTTTCTTGCTCCCTCAAAGTTCTTTCGGTGTGCACTGACTACAATAAATGCTTGTGCGTGATTTTACTGGAGCCGCAGGGGTGAGGAAACTGTCCTTGAATGGTTGTCCCTTATAACGTATCTGTTCGTTCAAAAATATTCGTTTTCGATAAAAGCAGCTGGAAGAGCTCTCGCCCGCTTTCCACGGATGGCAATGCGCGCCCGTCTCCCAGTTCAAGGCAACAGCAGAACATCAGCATGCGACGCCAGGAGAATCTTCGGTGGGCGTCTGAGCTGTCTTTTGTGGAGGAAAAACAACACTGGCAGGAGCAAATAAGCCAACTGAAGAAACAGCTTGACTTCAGCACTACCATGTGCCAGACTTTAATGCAAGACCAGCAGGTTGGAGACCGTTTCTTGTACATAAATGCATAAGAACATTAGTGCCTACAGTGTGCAAGGTTCTTATCCTGTGCGCTTAATAATGCCCTCCTTGTATATTGTCGGTTTTTCCTCTTGAAATGCTTTTGTTCCATTATGCAGCTTTCTATGTACGGTTATCACAAAAGGAAAGCTGTTCGCAGTGTTTTATCTTTGCTGATTTTCTGTGGCAAGTGCAGAAATTTTTTGGGAGTTGCAGAGGGAGTGTTTTTCAGTTGTAAGAGTGAAGCTAATGTCCTTCTGCCCAACTCATTTTGTGTGGCTGTTTGGGAAGAGGAAATCTGATGAACCCTTTCATCACAAAACGGTTTTTGTTCAATATGATAAAGTAGTACATCTTCAACTAATTTCATGTTGAATTATAACAGGGGTTGGCAAACTTTTTAGAGCAAGGGCCACTCAAAAATTGTTTAGTAACCTTGCTTGGCCACCTGAGTGAAATCCTCTATCTAGCCGGTTTAAACTCAGTGACTGGAATAGGTTGTTTCTCCGGGCACATCTCCTCCACGACCTCTTGCACACACTGCTGGATGAATTCACTGCCTGTCAGGGGTTTGCCAGCTGCTGTGAGAAGCTGTGATACTCGATAACTAGCTCGGGTAGCCGCAACATATTCTTTGAATTTTCTCTTGAACAGTTTTTGCTGCACCTGAAGCGACTTTTTCAACTGATATAATTTAGTGTATTCTGAAAATGTAACCTGATGTTTATCCCGTAATGCCTTTTTTTGGTATATTCTTTAATCACGGCGATTGTTTCCAGACGGATAACACGCATTATCTTTTCTTTCCAAGGGACACAAAAGTACTCTTCTGACCATTTGTTGTTGAATCTGCATCAATCTTTCTCTTTTTTTTTTTTGAGATGGCAGGAGCATCCTAGTTAGCCTCTTGTAAGTTATAACTTGCAACCTTTCAAAGAATCTTTCAAACAAGATAGCATACACTAGACGTCATTTGCGTGACTGAGCCAATCACAGTAGGCAACAAAAATCCACATGAATTTACAGTAAGAATCAGTTGTAGCACAGGCGTATGTAACCTAGGCTAAAGCCGACGTCTGATAGGATAAAAGTAAAATGCATCGTATTGGTGTCGTATCTGTGATGTAGATATTGATTTGTGTTGTGATTTGTTCTTGTTTTGACAGACACTTTCATACATGCTTCAGACTCTCCTCACCAGCCCCTACGGCGTGTTGCCAAACAATGTTGGATCTCCTCAGGTGCACCTGATCATGCACCAGCTGAATCAGTGCTATGCTCAGCTGGCCTGGCAACAGAACAACGTTCAGCGGTATGGAGTGATCTCAACATTTATCTTAGAAATGATTTTTTAAACCAGTTTGAAACTTTTTAAGGTGATCACCATTTGTTTTCTTAAATGGTGTTCTAGGATTTAGTTTAGGTTGAAGTTTTCTTGCATTTGAGTAGGTTTTAATTCATTCTTTTAAATCTTTCCTTTCAGGCTGAAGAAAATGTTAAATGACCTGTTAAACCAGGAAAATTCACAGCAACCGGAGCAAACTGCTAACCGTGACCCCGGTGTCTGCTCTGCATCTCCAAATCTTTTCTCTCCTTTCAATTTACATCCCCATTTAAGTTCACTGAACATGCCTGGGCTTGCAAACTTCGCTCCTGTCACTGCTGGTATGTATCTTTCTGGCTTTGTCACTGTAATTGAGGTCTGCTTGCACAATAGTCACTAGAGCTACTCTGTTTATGGTCATATGTTCCTATGGAAACATTTCCTGCTTATATTTTCATTTTACACACAACTGCAATACAATAAAGCACTTTAATATGCCTGATTTAGTGTATTGTATAATTTTCTCCCATGTTTTATGTATTACAATGTATTTCCATTCCTCAAGAATTTATTCATATTAATGTTTTAAAATTCTGGATCGTTTTCTTGAATTCGTACTTTACACATTTAAGGCAAAATGAAGTTTGCAGAAGTAAATTTTCTTTCAATCCTTTTTGACAGTTGCAACGAATAGTGTTTAAAAATGATTTGTCCACTTGTGGAGTAAGTGTAACGCCTATTTAAACCTTTCTGTGAAAATGCTGAAGTCAGACATCTAGTCAACTGTTTCTCGTAAATCGTTTATAATGCGTTTAGAAAGACTTTCTATTAAAATATTTCCATTTACCTGAATATTTGTGGAAGAAAATCCTACACATAAGGATAAAATTAGTTTTCTATCTTAATTTTGATGATGCTGCTGCATAAATTCTTGCAACACAAAAGAAATGGTTAGATGTGACTTCTTTCCTCTTCAGGGTTTAGCTTCAATCCTGTGTTTCCGCCAGTCTTTGGAGAATTTCCTCAGAGCTCTGCTCCGCAGGCCGGCACTGAACAGCCACAAACCGTGGATCACAACACTTCAGTGAAAACTGAGTATATGGCCTTTCCACAGCCGTTCGAAAGCTCTTCTCTGAATGGGGTGGAAAGGAAAAGGTATTCTGTTTATGCTTATATTTAGATCTAATAGCGTTTCAATTGAAATCTTTTTCTTTTTGTCTGTGAGCTATTTCTTATTAGGTGTAGAGCAGTTTTTCTGGCAGCTCACAATTACATCTAGTCTTATTTTGTTTAAGAGCTGTAACCAGCTGTAGTTCAGAGCATGCTTGCGGAAAGTGAGTTTCCGGGCTCATCCTCCTTTGTGCAACTGGATGTTAAATTGTAAAGTCGAGTTACTGTTACTGACAGGATTCTAATGATTCATTAATCATGATGCTCTTGGAGTTTGACCTCCAAGGCTGAGTTAAAATTTAATCACTGTAATTGGTAATTGCAGCAAAACTCCGGTGTTCATGACATTTCATGCTTTGCTTTTACCAATAACAGGAATTCGAAGGAGGGCGAAGGTGATCGACAAGGTGCTTTCTGGCATGGTGGCGCTCATAATGAAAAAGCTGACGGGCCTTCCTCTGTCGTCGTGGACAAGACCACTCAAAGCCAGAGGACGGGAAAAGCACAGCCGGTCAGAAACGGCAGAAGCAGGCAGTTTGATGAAGAGTCTTTAGAAAGCCTCAGCAGTATGCCTGATCCCATAGATCCCACTACTGTGACTAAGACCTTTAAATCAAGAAAAGCTGCTGCCCAGGCAAGTCTTGCTTCAAAAGATAAAACACCCAAATCAAAGAACAAGAGAAAGAGAAGTAATGGACAGAGCAAACCCTTTGGAGGGGGTAACATGGGTATGTACGTTTGTCCAAATGTGATAATTTAACCAATTCTTCAGCAGACCTATATAAGGGATCAGTACACAGTTGGCAATCCGTTCCTTAGCTATTAGTTATTTCTGCTGAGAGTTCAGACTTGCAGATCAGCATTGCTTTGTTGGCCACTATGTCGCAACATACATGCATTGGAACATAGTTTGAATTTTTGGTATCTATACTCGGTCCAGAATGTATCGGAACGGACTGGTGTCCGAATTAAATTGAAACTTCAGTCCAACATTTAGTTAATTTCAAAGCTATTTAGTGATCGCACATTTAGGTGTTCTCAAGAAGCCTGTGTTATACTGGCAGTTGAGTAGAAGATCCTTTTGTGAAGTTTGACGAGAAATTGACTCCTTCAGAGTGCTAGAGTTATCAAGTGATAGAAGTAAAGAGAAATATTGCTTCTAGTTGTCATTGTAACTTTAATACCTCTGTAACGGGTACTTTTAATAATGGTTGTGAAAGGAAACATAAAGCTGTTTTTGGGCTTTTGCTTCAGGACAGGAAAGCGACAGTGTCTCTAGTGCTAACGAATACAACAGGGTGAGAAGTCCTCACTCCAAGCAAAAAGAAGAATCTGAGAAGGTCCTCGACAAACGAACACCGGATCAGCTGGACACTAAACTAACATGCAGCAAGTCCAATGACCTCTCTTCTGGTGAGCTTGAACTTTAGCAGACTTTTTCTTAGAGCGATGTAAGCATGAATCTGTTAGTAAAAAAAAAAATACACGTTTTACTTAATCTTAAAGGTCTCGGTTGTTGGGTTCTGCAGCATAGAACAAGGCAGTTTAGGTTTGGCCCTCAAGTGGAGAGTTCTAGTAGTTGCTGGTTTAAAGAAGTGCCGTGTAGCTGTCTTTAAACAAGAATGCTTTGATAAAGCTTTGTCTTTATTCATAAACTAGACACTTCATGTCCTGAGCCCAAATCTGCATTATCCTCTATACGTGAACGACCCTTTTGCACAACTGCAGTAAACTCCCATCAGGTTTAGTTGAAATAGCTCCACCCAAATTTCAAAATGTTAAAACTTAGAGGAAATTCTGTGATGTATTGGAAGGCTTATTTAATGTGGGGCTTTATAATGTAAATTGGACTGGGTGAACATGTGAGTGTTTGGTTGGTGTTTTTCCTTGGTTTGTTTCTTTTCTGTTTTCGTCCCTCATCTTTTCTGTCTGTGCACATTTTGTATTGCTTTTACCCACAGCAAATGTTTGGAGAGCTTCCTTCCACTCTAACAGAAATGCATGCACTGAAGCACCAGGTAATAAAATTGTCAGTCCTGCATGTTTAACTCTACGGTTTGGCAAAATGTGCTTTTGTGTCTCCAATTTTCAAAAGTTTTTTTTGTTTATGTCAGTGTTTAGAAGTTGTGTAGGCCTAACCCTTCTCACCTTGCTATGTTTCACAAGCATGAAAATCAGCCAGATCTCTCTGGATATGCATAATCAAGATAACTTTTCTAAAGACATTTATGACACCTTGATGTTTTCAGTGATATTTTTGATTATGGAGAGTTTGCACCCAATCCAGTTTCACCTATTTTAAGTTGCCGTAAGATGGGGTGGAAGGGAATGTAAAAATGATCTGAACGTAATTCCTTCGTTGATTTTTAAATTCAATTATCACTTTTTGGTGTGGGGGGGATGTTTTAAAGACTTTGAGGTAAGAATGTTTTCTTTATTTACAGATACTAGTAGCGACTTTTCCCTGTTTGAAACCTTGCGAGAGACGATATATTCTGAAGTGGCCACGTTAATTTCACAGAATGAATCTAGGCCACACTTCCTCATTGAACTTTTCCATGAACTTCAGATGCTCAACACTGATTATTTGCGGCAGAGAGCACTTTATGCCTTACAGGTAATTCTGCTGTAAAGCCGATGTACTTGAGTTAGACCTAAATTGAGTGACCAGTTGAATTATGCACGGTTATATCTTTGTCTCCTGGTTTAGTCAGTTGCTAGAAGGTGGAAGCTGATGTTGAAAGCCTTTTCTCAAAGTGGTGTTTAAATCCAACTCACAAATTGTTATGGCATTTTATTTGTATTCACAATATTTTTGTTGTTCTTAAGTTTTAAGTGTAATATTTTAGTCGAGCCACACCAGAATAATTGTGACTTTCTTTTATTGCAATAATTACAACATTTTTAGGGAAAGTAAATACTCATGGCTCCATTCTTGCAAAGAGTGTACCTTATGTTTCCTTCTGACTTGGTGTCAGTAAAAGGATGTTGATCTCATATCCTTATTTTTGTGAATAACCCATACCCACAAAAAGGCATTTACTGAGCTTTTTCAGATAGTCATTAATGGGTTTTTGGAACATTTTAAGCTTATTTTAAGATCTTTCTACAACTACAGGACATTGTGACCAGGCACCTGATAGAGAAGAAAGACACTAATGAGGAGCAGGCAGCATCTCTGAGCTCAGCTGCCTGGGCAGCATCAAATTCAGAACTTACTCCCAGTGAAAGTCTCGCTACGAGCGATGGAGTAAGTCATTTGTTTTACTCTGTTCTTGTAATCAGGGTACCTTGTAATTTGTTTAAATTCGTGCTTTCCAGTTGTGGCTCAGATAGCAAATCGTGTTTTAGTAAATTATGTGCCCTAGTCTAAAAGAAAATGCATTATCAAAAACATGGGATATCAACAGCATTTCCCTTTTTAAAAACTTCTGTTTTATGCATTTCTAACGTAAAACATTACACCAGCATGTACTGGTTTAAGGGCAGTAGCCATATTGAAATGTGTAAAGTAAAAAAAAAAAGATGCTGCCATGTGATCTACATACAATTCCTAACCCTTATCCTAACTCTGATAAAGGTAAAGGGTCTGTGTCATAACATCGCCATTGTTATCAATTACTTATAGTTTTTCACTTCAGATGTGTAGTAGTGGCACCATTAGTATCTTAACCACTCGTCCATTTTTTTACACAATGTGTAAAATACCCAGAGATGTAATTTGGTTGACTACTGTAATGGTTTGTTGATGGTGTCATTTGATTTTATCTGGTTATCACCACATTTTAATGGGTTTGTAATGATGCTTGTCAGTACTAACGATTCTGAAGCGAATTACGCCTGAATGCTCAAAAGATTTAAAGGGAAAGAATAGTACTTAGTACTGTCAGAGCCTGTAGTAACTAAATAAAAAAAAAGAGAAATTATATTGGCATTCTTATAAAAGAGTATAGTTTTGTGCATGCTTTCAGAGTATTTATCTTGCATTAATGTTTTTTAGGACGTTTCTGAGAAGAATACTGAAAACAAACTTAATCTGAACAGGAAACATAATGGTGGCGATACTGAATTTATGGATAATGAAAGTACCCTGTCTACCTCTTCAAACCTTGAGCCATTTGCAAATGATGATCTAGGTAACGTCATCGGTTCCTTCAGTATACTTGATCATCTGCTAATGCGTAACCCCTTGGTGCAGAGCCTAACTGGTTGTTTCACATGTGCATGCTTCTTTTGGTGCAGGGAACACTGTGATTCATTTAGATAAAGCGCTGGCTAGGATAAGGGAATATGAGCGCATGAAGCTCAGAGCTGAATATAACGAAAATGCTGCTGACTCTTCTGCTGTTGAACAAGGTGTGGCTGACGGCTTAGAAGGTACTTTGTACTAAAGGCTTTGCTTTTATCTGCCATGCTTTCAATTCAATTCTGACTTTTGAAGTATTCATATATGCATTTTTAAATTCCTAATTTTAAGTTTTATTTTAATATTCCATTTGAAGGTGCTTCTGCAACCCCTCCTGGCCTAACGGGGCACATCTCTTCAGATATCCCTTGCCCGCGAATTGATACACAGCAGCTGGACAGGCAGATTAAGGCCATCATGAGAGAAGTCATACCCTTCCTTAAGGTGAGACCTAAGATGAGGTGTAGCTGGCTAGTACGTTTGGGCTAATTTAAAAAACTTTGTTCCAGTTTTGAAGTTATGACATCAAGTTGATTTGAAACTAAACAATCTGAAGATACTTCCTTAGGGCACAGTGAGAAAAGGCATTGCCACTCCAATAAAACTGAAGAAAGTTTAATGTAATATATAGATGATAAAAAAAACTTATATGGTGAGCTGTTGTATCTTGTGATTGGAGTTTAAATGGGTTGATGTTTTATGCTTTTGGCTTATATATGTTATTCTTTAGAATCTGATGAGGAATTAACTGCTTAAAAAATTAACATTACCAAATATTGGGCTATTTATCAGGGTGATATTTGTAAGAATATACCTGTATAGTTTGAAATAATGCATTTTGTGGTATTTCTGATGTTTGCACTGAAATTCCAGATAGAGAAGTTTTCAGATTTACCCATCAGTTGTATAGTCAAAAATGGTAACTAAGACTGTCAAATGCAGTCTGAAAATCTCAAGAATATGACTCGAGGTAGCTGAACAATTTGCTTTTCTTTTGCCCATTTTGCCTGATGTTTTTGAGTGTGGATAGAGAGTGGATTTTTAGACTTAAATTAAGCAAACTACTTTGATCAGGACATTTCTACATTGTTCCTAAATTGTTACACACCTTGATAATGTATTACCATACTTTGTTTTAGGAACATATGGACGATATATGCTCTTCACAGCTTCTGATATCAATTAGGCGTATGGTCCTTACATTGACACAGCAGAATGATGAGAGCAAGGAATTCGTCAGGTTTTTCCATAAACAGCTTGGAGGTATCTTGCAGGTTTGTAGCGTTTTCTTCAGTATTTTAAATGTATTTTGTATTGAGAATATGCCTTAATTAACATGGTTTTGGGGCTGTTGCTAGGTGCTATGTAATGTGTTGTTGATTTCAAACGACTAATTTTGAAACTTTTCTTTTTCAGGATTCATTGTCAAAATTTGCTGGTAGAACACTGAAGGAATGTGGAGAGGATCTGCTTGTGGAAATTTCTGAAATCCTCTTTAATGAACTGGCTTTCTTCAGGCTGATGCAAGATCTGGATAACACCAGTACTACAGTAAAACAGAAAGAGAGAAAGAAAAGTGACACTACTTCTTCAAAACAAACACTTAAGCCAGAGGTGGTGTTTTCTTATACATCTAGACGAGCTGTGTGTGTGCAAATCAGAGAAGTCATTACTAGTTGTAGCAATGTAGTTTTACTGCGTAAATACAAATAGCATTTGAAATTGTTAATGCTAAGGAACTGTAGTTCATTTCTCCATAATTTTATACAGTAAGCTTTAAAAAGATAAGAGAGACTGATCAGTTAGATGTGTTCTTTTTCAGCTTTGTTTTTTCTTGACTAATATAAAGTTTGGAATCTTTTTTCAGGAAAGGAAAACAGCTGGTAGTGAGCAGTCATTGTCAGGAGATTTACTTGATCGGGTAAGTGCTGTGTTTTAAATGAAACAATGTGGGTTTGCCACAATCTTTAAAAAAAGGTAGGACTTAAGTTTTCCAATTAAATACTTTGCTGCTTTAATTTAGTTACAGTGCAGTCCATAAGTATTTGGACAGTGAAACAATTTTTGCTGTTTTGGCTCTGAACTCCAGCACATGGGATTTGAAATGAAACAATGACTATGAGGTTAAAGTGCAGAATGTCAGCTTTAATTCGAGGGTATTTCCGTCTATATTAGGTGAACCTTATAGGAATCGCAGGAATCACCCTTTTTATACATAGCCCCCCCATTTCAGGGGACCAAAAGTAATTGGACACAATCTTAATTTTGTATGTTTGCAAATCCTTTGCAATTGATGACTTCCTGAAGTCTGCGTCCCATGGACATCACCAGACTGACATCTTTCCTGCTGATGCTCTGCCAGGCCTGTAATTCAGCCATTTTCAGTTCCTCCTTGTTTTGGGGGCTTTATGCTTTCTTTGTCTTCAGTAAGTGAAATGCTTGCTCAGTGGGGTTCAGTTCAGGTGATTGACTTGGCCAGTCGAGAACATTCCACTTTTTGGCCCTATAAAACTCCATAGTTGCTTTGGTGTACGTTTGGGGTCATTGTCCTGCTGCAAGGTGAAGCGCCGTCCAGTGAGGTTTGAAGCATTTGGTTGTATCAGTCCCATTTCTCACATATACATAGTTTAGGCAAGCATGTGCCAGTTTACCGATATTGACCATTTTTTCACTTGTAGGATAAAGTCGACCCTCAGCAAGGTCTTGATGTGGATGAGCCTGAAATAAAAGAAACCAATCAAGTTGAAGTGAAGGAGAGCATGAGCTGTGATGGATCTGACCGAGAGGATGAGGATGATGATGAAGACAGTGGGAGATTGCCCTTGTCTATAAGTTAGTATGCTGACTTGTCATGTCACGTGTGTGTGATGTTTAAGTCGTTATTTACAAGTAATGAAGTCATTATTTTAAATGCAAGTGAAGAAATGAAGCTTTTCTCCTCCTTATAAGAGCCTTTGTTTTTATAGTTGGATTGCATTTCAGATTAGATGATTTCCACAATGCACTGGCTGTATTGCTATTCTTGCTTTTAAAAGGCCTGTCAAAAGCAGAGACCCAGGCTTTGACTAACTATGGCAGTGGTGAGGATGAGAACGAAGATGAAGAGCTTGAGGAGTTTGAAGCTGGCCCTGTTGATGTTCAGACCTCTCTTCAGGCTAGCAGTGACGCTGGCTGTGAACATGAGCAGGTAATCTTTTAAGCACCAGCATGTATCCTGAGCTGGCTGGATTGGACGTGAATCGTATCATATGGTATATAGGTGAATAGGAAAGCCATTAGATAAACATTTGGCTTTGTTTGACAGTTCCTGTTGTCTGTGCACAAACCTTGTTAATACCCTTGTCCTGCTTTCCCTCCTTTTGCTGGTGTGCAGATTAGTACAAAACTAGGTTTTAAGTTTACACAATTATGACTGAATAGAAGATTGTTTATTCGTGTTATATATGAATAATGTTTAATATGAGTGCTGGAGCCTTCCTGTTTTCTTTGAGGCTATGACCCTAGATTTCATGGAGGGTCACCTTGTAAACTATACATTTTCAGTATATGCTGAATTGAAAAATGAGTCTAACTGTTTTTTCAGGTTACAAATGTGATTTCCTGGAATGCAAGTCAAGAAGTCAAGTCTGGTCAAGTGTCTGTTGAAAGCCCTGAAGGTAAGTTCTCGCAGCAGATCCTGCAGTCATTTTATAAGAGGCATTACCTATTGTTAAAATTGTTTAAATTCAACTTTAAAAATGGAACTAGCATAAAAGATTCAATAGCATCATGCCAAGCATTTTCTTTTTCAAAACCTGTTTTCAAGAGACACTTCATATTTTTAAAACGAGATCTTTGCAAAAAGAAACTTAAGATTGAATAACTTTTTTGGTTAAGTAATATCTTTAACACTAGCATGTACAAAGTCAAGGTCCTCATGAGAGCTTGGGACCCAGTTCTGGAGACGCGGGGCTGGAATGTGTAAGCGGGAAATGGTATCCCGGCATTTTATTCGTCTCCCATAAAGATAAGTCCGAAGCCTTGAAGTTGGCCGATTCGAGAGAGGCAAAAGAAGAAGCTGCTCCTTTTGGCTGTGCTGCGAACACTAAAGATGAATCGGTCCCTCCGCCGCCCAGGAATGAGGGAACTACTGCAGATACAGGAGAAGCTCAGCTGGAATCTGGATCAACTACTTTAACACCAGAGAGCTCCTTGGCATGCAGCCCTGATACCGACTCTCCCGTCTTGATTAATGACTATGTGAGTGACAGATACACTTCCGTCTAGAAATTGTAAGCAGTAAGCTGTGATTTATATTAATACCAACTAATATGGGGGCGGGAAATAGAGGTAATCTGAAAGTGGAGTCAAATTGACAGACCTACAAACAATGCATCTGTATTTCTATATATCTGGGTTTCTGGACCAGTACTGCTGATCCATGTTAAATTCATGCTGTGTCACTAACTCCCTTCTCATTTTTTATAATGAAACTGCAGTAAACTGCAGTTGTCGCATCCTGTCAGTCCAGTCCAGACTGAGTTGATCTCAATCTTGTAAGTTCTCATATTAAGGTCTTGAATTGCTTTCTTTTACATTAGGAAAATCGGGAGGAAAAAGCTTTTTTTTTAATAGAACTAGTACTTTTTACCTTGAGTTTCAATAATCACTTAGGTGAGACATTTCATGAAGTATTTTCATTCCATCTCTTAGGAAGCTGGGTCTGGAAATTTAAGTCAAAAATCTGATGAAGATGATTTTGTGAAAGTTGAAGATCTGCCATTGCAGCTTTCAGTGTTGTGTGAGGTACGTATTGTCTTTGCTAATTCCAACAATGATGTGCATAACATAAAAATATGTATAGGGGTTGTTGTGGATTGTCTTTGAGTTACACCAAGTAGTTTGAGACCTGTCATTGTTAGGCTGTTTGTCTGATTTAGAAGCTGGTTACTACTGTAAATAATTTTTTAGACTTCCCTATTCTTAGTTTGTAATGTAAACATGTTTCAGTGTTCTGTTCCAAGTACTTCATGAGGTTTATTTTTATCTGCGTAGGATGAACTCCAAAAAAGAATTGCAGAAGAACAAGAGAGTAACAGCTTGTCATCGGAGATCATTCAGGGAGGTGGGGATGGACTTGTAGAGCTTGTTGGAAACGCACAGACTTTAAAAGAACCCGGTAATTCTTCAGTATTTGTTAAATTTACATAATTACACAGTGCATGCTTCTATGCATTTGTCTTTTGTTTGAGAGGCATTTTTAATTAAAGCTTGCCAGTTACGAACATGAGAACTACATAAAGGACTGTTTTACACTCTAGTTCTGTTGCCATGTCTCTTAATGTTTTTTCCTCCCTTTTTTAGAAACCATTGGAGCCCAAAGTGCATGATGGTTCTTCTCCTTAATGTATAGTTTTAAGCAACTACTGTACATGTAAGTTAGCACTATGTACACATTTTATTCCACATTTGATTAAACTGTAATAACCTGTAAATTATACAATTTTTGGACACTGCCTTTTAGAGTAGCTGTGGTGTTTGAGCACTGCAAATGTTGCAGACTTAGATATGCAAAGTACTTACTGCACTGTTTTCTTTCATTATTGACCTTTAGGCATGTTGTAATGTTTAATTGTTTTCTGAGGTTTTAAAATGTTTACTATGCAGTAATAAATTAAATTGAAGTTTTTCAAATTTCTAAACTTCTTGACTTAAGATTTATTCTTCTCCCTGTAAAGCTGTTAATAAATTGAGTTTCAAAACATTTGAATAAATTGACAGTTAAATCTGAAATTCTCAAGTCACATCTTAACTGTTTTTTATTCTGTTTTTATCTTGTGTTAAAGAATGTTGGCACCCATTACAAAATACAAAATAAACATAAGCCCCTTTCACCTGCTGTTTCTTTAACTGTTAAGGTAGGTTCCCATAAATCTGCTTGTCAGTTTCTTTTTTTAAATAATAGCTCACTACTGGACCTTTTGATCTGAGTTTGGCTAGCACTTAGATTGTTAGAAATCTAAAAGTACTTTGAATTGTTTTTTTTTTATTGTTCTGGATGTAGATTTACAAAATGTGATTACCATCTTACAAATAAACAGTGTTAATCAAAACTGAAGATGGTTGCTGTCTGAGTTTGTAATGAGGATGAGATTAAAAAAAGGTACAAGGATGCCGATAACTGAAGGTATACTGGTACATCATCCTGCTGATCTTCCATTTTAGTCTGAACATGGAATTCTTGCATTTAATACAATACATCAATCTCTTGAGTCAATGTCCCAAGACCTGTATCTTACAGATGATTTGAGCACTGTGTAAACAGTTTGTGTTTTGGAATGCTTTCAAGTGTTAAAGCAGCTCTGCAGTATCATCGGAGTACATTTGACTGTTCCATCTTTATTCTGGAATGTCTTGTACTGAAATTGAAGTAAAGGGATTTAAATTAAAATGAGTAAACTTATTTAAACTGTTCAGAGCTGTGTGCTCCCTCAGTGTTTTTCTCTTGCAGTTGGCAATTTAAACATTTAAAACCTAGCCATAGGACTAAGCAACATGGCAGTTCAGTCAAGGGTTCACTTTTTAACAGTGACTTCTCAGGGTTTACTGGGTGGCTACAAAATGGTCCAGTACTCATGCTGGCCTGGGCAATGACCACCTGGAACTGTTCCTGTATCGGCAGGAGACTAATTTGTTTTCAAGCTTCTCCCCTAAAACTAGTTTTCCTCTTCCCTTAAGATTTTTCACTTCCACTTAACATTTCAAAAGTTTCTCCTTGCTGCCAGGGCCCTTCTGTTTTCTCACATGAACGTCTTTTGGGTATGGAAAAATGTAAGCACCTTTTTAAGAGAAACTATGTTCACTGTTTGAGCACAATGGGTGTGTTTGGATTTGTCTCAACCAATTTTATGCATACTAAATTAATCATTATATAGACCTGAGCAGTGGAATTGTCGAAGTTCTCATGATTTCTTGAAATGTCCCATTTATGTTATGCAGGTGCTTCACATCTCCTCAGAGTGGTTTGCCGATTGTCTTTAAAATGTTCAGTTCCCCTGTGGCTTTGAGGAAGATGAGACCAGTCTTACTCATTGTTCCTCTTGCATGTATGACCATATGTTCATTGTAATAAGCAATCTGGACAATCCCCATAGACCTCAAAACAATCAGGGGACCACAAAGTACAGTATTCCATGATGGTTAAAAAACTGTTTAATTCAATTAAGTTCTCAAATTTAATTCAAATGAGCACTCTGAAAATATACTCTTATCATTTCCCATCCCACAGTAAGTCATTAAACAAGAAATGGCTCTCTTTTACAGATGAATATTAGAACGCAATTTGCAGTGATATTACAGATAAGTTGCTGGGTGTTAATGAGAAATTATTTTTAATGGATTTAAATACTACACTGTAAAATATACAGATCACATTTTTAAAAAGCAGACTAACTTCCCACTAAAAGTCTTAAAGTTTCTGAAATGACAGATATGCTGTATTTTTCTTTTTAATAACATTCCAAAGTTAAGATTAGCAATGATCATTACAATATTAAGCTCTACAGAGTGATGTAGGTCTTGTTTGTGCATCTTCAAAAGATTAGTAGCAGGTCTTCAGTGAGTGAGAATCATGCTCTCTCACTGAAGTAGCAGGTCTTCAGTGAGAGAGAATCATGCTGGATTTTACCAGGGCATACAGGGATCTGGGCATTCGCGGATATAAGACTCCAGCTTGCCTTTGGAAACATCCATAAGAGTGGTGTATGTAGTCAGCTAAAAAACAACACAAATACATTTTTAGATGTACTTGTTGAGAAGTACCAACCACAAAATAAAATGGCTTCACATTTCAATTAATACTTTAAGGAGTACATTTTAGATTGCAGTTCTTCATTTATACCATATAGTGTATATATATAAAACAAATTGCTCATCATAAAATGTGACGTCCTGAACAAGATTACAGAAATAAGCTACTGTAACAGAAAATGAATACTGTATGATTTCTGAAGGTGTTACCTTGTTGAGGACTGGTTTTGTTGACAGGACATTGTAAATGGTTGCTGGTGCAATTTTCTGGAAGAAAAAGCAATCTTAAAACTTTATTACAAAAATATGGATTGGATAATGTGAAGCAATATAAAGAGTGCAAGAATCTTTCTACTTGGTAAACATCACTTTCATTAACTTCTTATCCAATTCAGGGGAACAGTGTCCTGGAGCCTATCACAGGAAATACTGGACACTGGACAGGATACCCAGATAAACTAAAGATCAACATTGAAGTAAAATAGGGTTTTGGGAAAATTGTCACGCACACTGACCTGTTCTATAAGTGTAACTACATAGTAATTTGAAAAGTGGAAATGTGTATCATAAGGAAAATTACAATAAATATAACTTGGCAGCTGGTGTATTGGCCTAGGATTAATGGTACTTTGAAGGCCAAATTTTGAGTTCCACTGTAAACAAAAACATTTGTCAAAGCCATGAATGTTTGTTCGGTCACAGGGAGCTGGAGCCTATCCTACCAAGCACCAGGTGCCACACAGGGTCCATCATGGACCAGATGCCAGTCCATCGCAGGGCAGACAGACACTCACGCCAAGGTCAATTTTCCCAGAAGCCAACTAAACTAGAAATATTTGGACTATGGCTGGAATGAGACCACAATTTCTGCTTATACACAGGATATTACAGGATACCCTCTGTTAAACAAAAACTTTTTTCAAACAATATTCACAGAGCAGGACCAACACTGTGAGACTGATGAAGACGCGTGTACTCACAGCTTGTGTCGTCTGATTCATACACTTCATGGCTGGAGTCCTGCGGTCGTCCAGAAAGAGCGGCTCTTTCCAGTGATCGTAGTTTGTCTCCAACACGTACCACCTGCCCCTTTCAAGGTCAATCCTTCCGGCAGACAGGACACAGCAAGTTACGGTTGTGTTGGGAGGACAGGAAAGGACACGCTACAGGTGTGTTTGGCGGACAGGAAACGGCGTTTTACAGCTGTGCGTGGCAGACAGCAACCAGAGCATATTGCTGTGTTTTGTTGGGAACGCACTTCTGCCACGTTTTAGCCCAGTATACTTACTCCCAAATGTCCAAACTAGCCCGTCTTGATCTCGTTATAACGCAGCCTTGTCCAGACTTGTTCCCTCCGAGGATGAAGTAGGCCGGAGCTAGCATTTTGGTTTTTGACAGCTGGTTCTTGGCATCATCATAGCTTTATCAGAAACAAAAAATGTTTTAAACCTGACTACCTCTTTACAAACATTTACTTGAAAGAAGCTAGTATAACAGTGTAATACTGCAACAGAGAGACAATACTGAAAAAGTACCCATAGTTAGGACTTTTAGTGGCAAATCTGCCTTTACGGTACACTGGCAATACTACATTGCCAGCTTTTGGCAAATGCTGGGTCTTTAGAAAATGAGTGCAGCTGAACAGTTAAAAACAAACATATTGAAAGTCAGAAAAAAAAGTA